GCTTGTCTGGAGTGTGGGCAGTATGGCATTGTATCTGTCTGAGGTTCCCCTCTTCCTCCTCCTCCTCAGACCCCACCCTCAGCAGGCTTCAACCCTATGTCCTTTTCAGGCAACCATCAGCCAACCTTTATCTGCCTGCCTGTCTTAATTTTTACATCCCCCCCACAGCCTCTGCCTAGGGAAAGGGCAGTCTTTCCCTGCAGTGGGAACCAAAGCAGCTGACATCATTCTCCTCTCCCCCGTATGATCCGCACAACTACCCTATGAGGTATGTTAAGGTTGAAAGTGTGTGAATGGTCCATAATCCCCCAGGCAGCTTTTAAAACATGAACCTGGGACCTGCACACCACCAGAATACAGCAGGTTCCATATGCAACTGACATTCCAACTGCCTTGCAGGGGGGGGGGAGTTTGAGTTGTGGAATGGAGTGAAGTCCAATCAGCTTCCATATGCAAAAGACCTTGAAACGCTGGGCGGGACTGCACAAAGCAGCCAGTCAACCCAGCCAGTGTCTTCTGAGTGGCAGTTCTTCCGGCCAAACACTAAAGGCGGGCATTTTAGAACGTTGGTCCCCACTACTGCTTTATTATAAGGGAGAGATGACAAACTATGGAAGGCATCTGCAAAATTTTTTTACCTCAATAATAATAATTTGCACTGAACTTTGGATCACCCATATTTTATAGCTTACCATTAATTTTGCTTAAGGAATGATCTGCAAGAGGTGTTTATTGTTGCTACAGTTTAGAGCAGTCACACACAAGGACTCGAAATAAGCTGAAAAGATCATCTCTTCAGTTATGGCCATAAGTGGCTTAAAAGCAGAAAACAGACTTTGGCGTTTAATCCATAGAAGAAAAAATGGAGTTTTTCCTGTACTGTTCATGGTGCAGTTGGGGGGAGGGCACTGGATATACTATTCTAATAAAGCTCCAATTCAGCTCCAACTGAGAACTCCTTCCCTCCAGATTCCACTGATGGACCCACCAGAAGATGGGCAGGAAGCAACCAGGCACCCCTGCACTGTCCCTCGATCCAGCTCAGCTGAGAATCCCAATCCCAAAGTACTAGGGTTGCCAAGTGGGGGCGGGGGCAGGTTGACCCCCGCTTTGGAGGCCCGATTCCCACTACTGTGGAATCGGGCCCCGGGGGGAACTCCGCCCCCCAAAGTGCAGCGTGGCTGCGTCACCAGAGGTGACACAACCACATTAATCACAATGGGGGCGTGGCCCCGATCGTCGGAGGGAAAACTATGGTTTTCCCGCCAACGATCGGGGCCACACCTTCAACATGATCGACGTCGCGCGTCACGTCCGGTGACATGCTGGCGGCGTGGGCACACATCGACGGACGGCTCCCAGAGCCCGGTGAGGCTCCCCCGCCGGTAAGAAAAATTGACTTGGCAACCCTACAAAGTACATTTGTATTGATTTTTAATCATTATGTGTGTTTGATTGCAATTCTGGTCAGCTTGTGTGGGAGCTAAATTTTGACTAACAGGTGGAATGGAAATGTAATAAACAAACAGAGCCTCGTGTATGACCATGAAGGAGGAGAGAATAGCATTGCTGATGGTGGCTGCATGGAGCATTCATTTAAATCAATATAGTTCCAAGATAGCAGATTCAAATGAGTAAACAAATCAAAATGCAATTATTTCCAGCTCTTCGTTTAGATCCTGTGCTAGAAGCCAGGCACTGGTGCACTGTACACATTCCTTTAGC